AATGGAGCACTGTAACAAAAAATAATTTCCCCCAGGGATTAATAAAGTATTCTGATTCTGATTCTGATTCTGATTCTATGCACAGACACAGACTAAGAGATACGGGCTTTACATAGAAGGAACACACCGGCAGGAAAAGATAAGATACAGAACCCAAACCAAAAGACACCTCATGAAATCAAAGATAAATAATATAAAACAGAAAACCACTGGGTCACTGACCCAGGACCAAGATACTCACTGTCATATGCCTGTCTGTTTATTCATATGAAAAATAAACCTCAAATAATAAATTAAAACACCAAAGCTAAAATAGTAAAAACATAAGATATAAAAGAAAGAAAGAAACTCATTGCAAAAGGAAATAAAATAAAGACAAAATTAAAATTCTAATAGGAAGCTAATCAAAACCCAAGAGGACCAACACAGGGCACTTGCTTCAGTCAGACGGAGCTGACTTGTACCAACTTTACTTTTAGGTTCAGGTAATGTTCTTTACTCTTAATGAATTATGTCAGGTAGATCCATAATATGTTCATATTGGCCACAGGAGCCCCACCCGCCTGCTGCTAATACTTCTAGAAGAAAGTTGACTTAAAAGGGGAGGAGCTAAATTGCTTGTTTGAGAAACAAAGCTGCGTCAAAGAATGGTGCAACATGAATAAGCAATATTTTAAACTATGAATCAATCAAAGGTTACGCTAGTAAAGTACACCAATAAAAATACTTATTTGGAAATAAGGGATAAAAAGCTATTGAGAAAAAAAAATAAAACTCAAAAGATGCCCTGAAGAACTCCCATCTCTTCAAAATGCATTTAATTCACCATCTTTGCCCCAGTGCTAATATTTAACAACGAACAGCCAACACCAATTTAATATTTATATTAAGATATATTTCTCTCCTTTTACATGCATTAAGCTTATATCGGTTAGATCCCTAGTACGGTCATCTCAGGCACAGGCGCCCCACCTACGTGCCAGTCATACTCTTTGTTAACGAGGGGCAGCCAATTTAGAAGAAGGGATGTTTTATGCTAGAGGAGCCAATTTGGCTTATTTATGAGCTATGTGAGCTAAGGGTTATAGTATAAGATAAACAAGGATTACTTTGAATTGTGAGTCATGCAAAGCTATTATAGAAAATAAAATCTGTACCATATGGAAATTATTCTGGAAAAGTACAGGCACTTTGTTAGCTCTGGTTTCATGAAAACTTGTTAGTTTTACATTGTAAAATGATGTTCAGTATGTTCAGTTGGCTTTAAATTAGCACATCTTCCACCCTGCTGTTACACAAGATATGGTCTGAGAGACATTTTTTTGTAATATAATACATTGAAATCTAGGTTAATAAATTAAGTAACTTATTTTTAAATGTTATTTCTCAATTTAAGCAATAAAAAACAGCCCTTTGATGCTTATATGAGAGGTTTCAGTGGTTTATAAAAATCAAGTGCTGCATTTTTGCTTCGCTGGATATTGTCCATGACTAATTCAATAGCTAAATTTAAAAACATTTATATTGATCCAACAGGGCTTATGACCACAGCAGAACTTCAAATTAACAACCATCCACAGTAAGTAATGTCAGAGTTTTAGTACATTTATGTGAACCCTGTTGTTCAGTAGTCAGTTCGGTAACTGCTGATCAGCATTTTGAGCCAAATCTGAGCTTTAAGGACAGTGCAGCCATTCATATCTGAGTTTTTTGAGTCTTTTGTTACTGTTGCTAAGGAGGTTATCTAATTGGTTCAGTTTGTATGTTTTGTTAGGTGTGGATGGATTTGAATGAAGAGTGTATCACATTTTCGATTTGGTCTAATTTAGTGGTTAACTTGTGGAGTCGATCCAGATGTTGACTTCCACGTATTTCGCATACATTCTCTAACATTGTGAAATGGGGGGAAATTCATGACACGTCTTCTCAAATAGATGCCAAATTCAGGGACTCCCCCTGAATTTGGCATCTATTTGACCCCCCTGACACAATGTCAGGGGGGTTTTCAGCCTTAGCAGAGGCATGCAGTCACAGACTGCTGTTGTTAAATGCTTTTGTTGTTCGCTTTTTATTTCTGTCTCTATCAGATTGAATGATCTCTAAGAAATTATCTTATTTTCTTGTATCTGCTACTGTAACATGTATCAAGGATGTTTTGACAAGATTACAGAAAAAACTGGTTAATATCCGATCCAACTGCACAAATATTCAAGTGAATCTGAAGCATTATTACTGGCCTCTTTTAAACTGAAGATGTGGAGCCACCTACAGAGAAACTATTATCTTGTCAGTAAAGTATTATGGTGTTTAGTTATGATCTTATAAGACTTTGGTCACAAATTTGGAAAACAGCGTAAAAAAATACTTCAAACCTTCAAAAGACCCTCAATTCTCAGCTTCTTTTTAGGTTCAGAAAAGGAATCGATTTGACTCGACAATCAGCCTTTTGGAGCTAGAAATAATCCACTTTATACAAAGAGTAGCAGACATGTTTGTGCAAAATCTTCCTCTGTGTGGTATGTTTTTGTTGTATTCTTTATCTCCATTTAAACCCACGTCTTGGCATGAATTGAGTCAACTAACCCTATTGACAACCAGGTCTACAGAAACAAACTTATGAGCCCGCACACATGCTAGTGAAGCTGTAGCACTTTAAACAAAACTCAAAGCTGATGTTCAGCGGGTTAAACTGTCTAACAGGATTTGCTATTTGTTTGGTCCTCTAGCTATTTGGTCAAGAACCAAACCAGACAAAGTCAGAGTTAACAAAATATAAAAAATACCTATGTCAGTCTCTACACAGACTAATAATACAAATAGAAATCCAGTCCATACATACATAGAAAAAAGTATACGGAAATGATCCAAAACTCTAAACTTCAGAGCTAAGGAAACTGAAAATAATAATATGTTAGTATTTCACTGATAAGAGACATGAAAGTCTAAATTAAAATATAATCAGGCTCACAATGAGAAACAGTCTTCAGAATGTGAATGAAACTTCACAGCAGTCACATCTGATTTTTATTTATTAAGTAAAACTCCACTCGCAACCTTTTTACTGTGGAAGTCATGCAATGACAGACAGATGGGCAGAAATTCATCCAAGATTTAATTACATCAAGAAATGATACAAGGCAGCTCTTTAAGAAGTACAACGCTCTATTTCACAATTTCAAAGAATGTGATCCGGATACACATCAAAATTTGGGAAGTGTGAAGCAGCGGGAATGAGGATCAGCACCTCCAAATCTGAGGCCATGGTTCTCAGCCGGAAAAGGGTGGAGTGCCCACTCCGGGTCGGGGATGAGTTCCTGCCCCAAGTGGAGGAGTTCAAGTACCTCGGGGTCTTGTTTGCGAGTGATGGGAGAAGGGAGCCGGAGATCGACAGATGGATTGGTGCGGCGGCTGCAGTGATGCGGACGCTGCACCGGTCCGTCGTGGTGAAGAGGGAGCTGAGTGTAAAAGCGAAGCGCTCAATTTACCGGTTGATCTACGTCCCTACCCTCACCTATGGGCGACCGTGGCTCAGGGGGTTGGGAATCGCATCTGTAACCGGAAGGTTGCCGGTTCGATGCCTGGGCTATCTGTCCTGGTCGTTGTGTCCTTGGGCAAGACACTTTACCCTACTTGCCTACTGGTGTTGGCCAGAGGGGCCGATGGTGCGATATGGCAGCCTCGCTTCTGTCAGTCTGCCCCAGGGCAGCTGTGGCTACAACTGTAGCTGCCTCCACCAGTGTGTGAATGTGAGAGTGAATGAATAGTGGCATTGTAAAGCGCTTTGGGTGCCTTGAAAAGCGCTATATAAATCCAATCCATTATTATTATTATGGCCACGAGCTGTGGGTAGTGACCGAAAGAACGAGATCGCGGATACAAGCGACAGAAATGAGCTTCTTCCGAAGGGTGGCTGGCCTCTCCCTTAGAGATAGGGTGAGAAGTTCGGCCATCCGGGAGGGGCTCAGAGTAGAGCCGCTGCTCCTCCGAAAGGAGCCAGCTGAGGTGGTTCGGACATCTGACAAAGATGCCTCCTGGACGCCTTCTTGGGTTGGTGTTCTGTACATGTCCCACCGGGAGGAGGCCCCGGGGCAGACCCAGGACACGCTGGAGAGATTATATCTCTCGGTTGGCCTGGGAACGCCTTGGTGTTCCCCCGGATAAGCTGGAGGAGGTGGCTGGGGAGAGGGAGGTCTGGGCCTCTCTGCTTAGGCTGCTGCCCCCGCGACCCGGCCCCGGATAAAGCGGATGAAGATGGATGGATGGATGGTCATTAAAATGGAAAATCCTCTGGGCAAAATGTGCATGAAACCTGCAGATAAACCACTAAAGACCAGCACAGACGTTATTATCTTATTATCTCACATTTGGAGTCACACTCACAAGTTTTATAACGGGTAGGAAAAACAAGTGTTATTTATAAATGAGCAAACGTCAAACTAAAGCTCATCACAGATCCTTTTTTATTTGATAGTTTGTTTTGAGCTTTTCACAGCAGGATTTTCTGGGATTTGCAGCTTTTTGGTTCGACTTTATACCCGTCTGAATTTAACCTGCCCACTCTGGTCAGACCACTGCTTCCGCCTCCACGCCCCAGTGTGGGTCACATCATGCCTGGGCTGTATAAAGGAGATGGACCACAGCGCTCAGTAGACACCTCGGGTCCTCGACTGCTACCAAGCTGCCTTTCTGGTAAGATTTTATGTTGAGTTGCTTTACTAACTAATTGAATCATTCATTAAATCTGCATCATTTTTTGTATAGTAATAGTTGGTGTATTTGTAAATTCCCCATGATTAGCTGAATATTATCCAACTTTCTCTGGAGGTTTAGCGGATTAATTGTTGAGCAACTTTTTAGGGGGAGTGGGGGAAAAGTGAACACAGACTTTTTTCAGTAAATTCTAAAAAGTTTGTCTGGTATTTGGCCAGTACACCATGACATAATGACATTTAAATAAAGTCAATTAAAGAGATGTATTGGGCACAAAAAGACTTACTGAGGAATGGTTATGAAAGTACAGTAAGAGGAACAAAGGCAGAAATGGGATTTATAGCAAAGTACTGATGTCAGCTCACTCAGCACTGAAAGGACTGAGGATTAACAAAGGATTAGAGGTTGTTTATGTGGGGCTATTAAGTATACAGTGGTTGTTTTGTTTGCTTAGATGGTAGAGGAAAAGTATAGATGGCAGACAGGATGTATAAGTCACAGAAGCACATATATATAATGAGAGAAGCCAGAATAAAAAAGGCACAAAGGCTACAGAGGAATATGGTGGGTGCTGATTTTGAAATATATTTGGGGAAAATAGTTGATTTAGATGGGTGTCGACACCAAACAGCATCCCAACATTATTGCCTATGTCAAGAGTCCACTTACTTAGCAGAGGCTGCTTTGGGTTTCTGAGGAATTTTAGAGGTGTTCACATGATTTTGGATGAAGAGGACAGTAGAGAAGAAATTCTGCATATTTCCTATTTGTCAAACTATTACTTGACTAAAACAGGCTGGAGCACAGGACAAAAAATAACAGATTTGGAAATAAAATGCACATTAAAAGGGTTATGTTGATGATAAGGTTCTGTGAAAACTTTCAAATTAAAAAGGAAACATTAACTGCTGAACCTAACTATTCAAAGTATCAGTTAACTTAACTAGCATCTGAAAACAACTTCATAAATATTGCCAATAGACTAGCTGTTGTATTTACACCGATACTGTACAAATCCTTCAAATAGCATGCTATTTTACATTCTTACTTCATAATAAAATATTTTTTGGAATTAGAAACACAAGAATGATAGTATACAGACAGTAAAATAACAGGTTTGTGCAGGCAAATGTAGCTGTTATTTCTTACAGTGTTGTTTTCTTAAATAATTTCTACAAAGACACCCCAAGGTCCCATCCAAAAGCCTTCTTCCTGATCACAAAGCAGCTTTAGAACTTTTCTTTCAAATTCAAGTCAATAATAATCTTTTTAACTGACCTTTATGGTAATTAAGAAGAGATCTGAGCCTATGGGTGTAATTAAATATGCAGTTTCTTCAAAACCAGCACGACTGAAAATCCTCCAGTCGTATAAACAAGCAGGATCTCTTCCAAAAGCTGATTTCTGGATGTTGCATAAGACTTTCAATAGGGACTTTCTTTAAATCCACCCCTTCTTAAAGCAAGAATTTAACTGTAAATCATTCTTCAATAGCTCTTTATCTTTTACTCCTCCTCCATCAATACTCTCACTGATTTTCCATCATGTGTTTTCTGTTTTTAACCTACTTTTAATATTAGTTTTAGACTCTATTGAAGAGTTGAGTTTATACTTCATTTCAGCCCCATTTTCAGAGCTATTGGTGACATTCCTTTAGCTAATTTGCTGAGTGTAGTGCTTTATTAACTTCACAGGAATTCCAGTTAGGTTACACGTGCTCATAAAGGCATGATGATCATTAATATGTTTATGTGCCACGTGGTCCTGAGATAGTACTGTGACTCTTTTGTAGAAAAGTCTCTAATTGTACAAAATGTGATTACATTTGAGCCAGCGATTGCTCCTGTGTGTGGCTGCAGTTATGCAACGTTTATAGCACTCTCTTACAGAGCATAGGACTCAGAAGAGTCGCAATGGGCGAGCGTTATGATTGCACAGAGTGTCAGGAGTCCCTGTACGGCCATAAGTACATCCTGAAGGAGGAAAAGCCCTACTGCATCAAGTGCTATGAGACACTATTCTCCAACACTTGTGAAGTGTGCCAGAAGCTCATCAGCTGCACAAGCAAGGTGAAATACCCACATTTTAACTGCTACATTTTTCTTACAGTGATTCTTGTTTTTGCCATTGTTTAAAAATTTCCACGAACTACAGAACCTGAGAGTGTTTGTCTCTGCAGGATCTGTCGTACAAGGATCGCCACTGGCACAGCGACTGCTTCCTCTGCAACAAGTGCAGCCGGTCTCTGGTCGATCGGCCCTTTGCCACCAAAAATGAAGCGCTCATGTGCATCGAGTGCTACAGCAACGAGTACTCTGCCAAGTGCCACGCGTGTCTGAAGAACATCATGCCAGGTTAGGAAACTCTAAGGTTACTGTAGCACACACATATTCTAGGTCTGACCAACAATTTCAGCTGTCAAAATGGCAGCCAACAAAATTCTAATATACAATTTATTCGTCAAATTGTTGATATCAATAGGACACAATCTCCACTACAATAATGATATAAACATGGAGGGATAAAATAGTCCAGTGTCCCACTTCCAAAAGTGTTGTAGCGTTTGCAGTGTGGGCTATGAGTAGACTAGAGTATGACCTTCGCCACTGAGTTTTTACAGCCACAGCCGCTTTAGCAAGTTGGAGATTTCCCAAATGACAACACAGCGATACATCAGCACCAGATGGATTAAACTAATAAATGACATTTGTTAGTCACTCTCTCTCCTTCTCCGTCTTGTGCACCCACCAGGCTCTAAAAAGATGGAGCATAAGGGCAACAGTTGGCATGAGAGTTGCTTCACCTGCAACCGTTGCCAGCAGCCCATTGGCACCAGGAGCTTTGTCCAGAAGGATGCCAACAACTACTGTCTGCCCTGCTATGAGAAGCAGTTTGCTCTGCAGTGCGTCCACTGCAAGAAGGTAAAGTGACACGCTGTGGCTAATAATCATCGCTGTGTTTGTTAAGCTGCAGATTCAACTGGTCTGACATGTAAAAAGAAAGGTCTTACACAGGCTCTGTATACTTGGCCTGATAAATGGTCCAAATCAATGTAAATGCTGCCATAATGAAAATACATGCAATGAAGGCGGGTAAAGATTCACATCCATGGTACGTAACAGTTCTGGGCAGGAAACAGATGGTCACACAGGCAGGGATCGGAGGCGTCTTTTTGTGCTAAAAGCTGAGAGAGCAGTCATCTGCCTCCCCTGTGACTAAGTCAGCAACAAATGCACAAAAATGACAAGAATGTGAAGTTAGACTGGTTTACAAAGGCAAAGAGCGGTAAATGAAATAACAGGATTTTTTATTTTACAAACAACATTACCAAAACAGACAGGAACAATACTAAAAAACAAGATGATCAGTTCCTCTCAGTCAACATCACATGACATGGTGGTAGCTTGATAATTCACATCCACAAGTACAGCAAGTACAGGAAACAAAATACCTCAATTTCTAGTGTCACTTCCAAGGATAAAGCAAAGCAAACTATGCAAGGCTTAAATGTTTAAGACGTGCTTAGCTTTGGGTGCAATACTGGGTGATGTTTGCACCTTTATTTGGGCGTAATACCACTTTCAGCATGCATCTTTCTGCAAAATACTTTTATGTACAGTATTGTTTGCACACTAATATTTAATCATACTTAATCACAGTGAGAAAATCTGAATGAAATTTATGTGCATACTAAAATTTGGTCACTTTAGCCCATTGCTAGGAGGTTGCCAGGCAACCTAATGATGGCATAAAATATGCATTATTCAAGTTGTGTAAATAAATCGTTGTTTGTTTGGGGGTTTTTAAATAGTAAAATCAAAAATGACAGTGTTATTTATCAAGCTTTATGGATGTTTTAGTGTTAAAAACAGGTCTTTTAAACCCATTTCTTGGTAGTTGCTAGGCAACATGACATTATATGAGCTATAGATAAGAGCCTTCGGGGGCTTAAGATGTACCTGTGTGACAAGTTTAGCAGCTCAAGTGAGAAAAGTATTTAACTCAGTGGGAGTTACAGAGTTGTAGTCGAAGGCATGGAATCCTGGTCTTGTTCTTTTAAACGATTTCTCACCTTATTCAAAGTTTTTGCTCTAGCTTATGCTTGACAGCTGGATTATCAAGTGTGTTTCTGCTCTGACACAGTATTAAAAACATTTGAAAAGGTATTTTTAGACCTTAAGATTCAATATATGTCCGACGCAAATGGTATAAAACATGTAGCTACGGTTACATAACCTGGTTGTTTGTGAAAGCATGTTTTGAAGCCTGGGACTGGGTCTTTTCACAACCACAGTTATCCCCCTGCTGGTCATTTAAACATTTGTAAAATGCTCTTTTTCAGCCCATCACCACTGGAGGTGTGAACTACCACGACCAGCCTTGGCATAAGGAGTGCTTTGTTTGCATCGGGTGCAAGCAGCAGCTGGCCGGCCAGAGGTTCACCTCTCGAGATGATTTTGCCTACTGCCTTGATTGCTTTTGCAACCTGTTTGCTAAGAAATGTGCTTACTGCACCACCCCAATCAGCGGTAAAGGTCATGCTACACTCATATCAGAAGTACTGCCCTTCATGTTACACATCCAGCATATAACCAGGGAGTTACCGACACTTTGCACCTTTAAATTTTTCATTTTATTGCTTTACGCGTTTAATTTTTATGACCCACAGTGTTCAGGATAAACTATTAAGGTGCTTAATTTAGCTGTGGTATCAGTTTGACGACTGTACAAAGGGGATTCTTGTCCAAACGAGCTTGACATGTTGAGTCGAGGCTCATTGGAAAATGAATTACTGGAAATATGCTGGAATTATGATTTTAAGTCCACACTTTAACAATTTTTCCTGTTAAATTATACTAAACTACTGGCAGCTTCATCTGGCAGCATGACATCCACATTCCAGTGGAGCTGCTGTTTGTGTGAGCATTGAAGGTATTTGCTGATAAATGAACAATAGTAGACTGTAAAAATACCCTCTATTTTTGTTGAAGTTCAGGTTTGTTCTCCAGAAACTGAATTCTCCCTTAAATAAGTGTGACTCTGGGTAAACATAAAATCAGTTTAAAATAATATACAAGGGAACGCTTGCACAGAACGCCACAGTGGCACGGTGGTTAGCACTGTTGCCACACAGCAAGAAGGTCCTGAGTTCAATTCCACCATCAGGCCGGGGTCTTTCTGTGTGGAGTTTGCATGTTCTCCCCGTGTTTGCGTGGGTTCTCTCCGGGTACTCCGGCTTCCTCCCACCGTCCAAAGACATGCAGCTTGTGGGGATAGGTTAATTGGAAAATTGCCACTAGGAGTGAATGTGAGTGTGAATGGTTGTCTGTCCCTATGTGTTAGCCCTGTGACAGACTGGCGACCTGTCCAGGGTGTACCCCGCCTTTTGCCCTATGACAGCTGGGATAGGCTCCAGCGCCCCCCGCGACCCTGAAAAGGATAAGCGAATGGATGGATGGATGGGCACGCTTGAAATGATGGACTCTTTTGTAGTTTCTTTGTAACATATGAACTCAGGACTGAGTAAATTACCTTACTGGTCCCAGGTTCCCCTTTCGAACTACATTTAAGCTTTAGCCGGTTCGTCTTTTAATGTATGATTAGCCATTTGCATTACCTAATAAAATATTCAGGGAGTTTATCATGCAATGTCAAAATTCTACTAAACAAATAATTGTCTACTTGTCTTCAAAGACTGAATAACAAGTTTAAATGGTTTTGGCCGTGGCTTTCATCACTTTTTATTTTGGGCCAACGGGCAACCATAAGTGCGACTTAAAGCAGCACTTTAAATATCACACCCAGAAGCAAGACAAATCTAATACTGCAAAGTTTTGATCATGGGAGCATACTTAAAAGCAACTTAATCTTAACTGCTTTTAGGTGACGATCACAGTATAAACCACCCCTCCTCAGCATCCTGCGTGGATCCACTCACCATCAATTACGGAGTTATTTCATTACCCAGATCATGAGACTCCCCTTTACTGACTCTTCTCTCCATCTCAGGTCTTGGGGGGAGCAAATACATCTCTTTCGAGCAGCGCCAGTGGCACAACGATTGCTTCAACTGCAAACGGTGCTGCGTGTCTCTGGTTGGTCGGGGTTTCCTGACGTGCAAAGACGACATCCTGTGCCCCGACTGCGGCAAGGACATCTGAGCGAAATCCACCAGAAGACAACCCGAGCCGGATTGGCTGCCTGTCGGCATGCACAGCAGCATTCACCTAACTTTGCATGATTTGAATCATTTATCAGTGTCTTAAACATTAACATGTTTTTTTTATGCATGCACTGAAGATACTGCGTCTTATGTGAATGACCTGCAGCCTTTATTCCCCATCAGGATTTCTGCATTTTGCTCAGAAAACATCCATACGTGGAACAAGAACATGTTTTACTTTCAAGTCAAGAATGCTGTAACCCAAGTATACTATGTGACAGCACATGTAAGAGCATGTGAGGCTGTTCTTAACTGATATCACTATGATGTAATTGTTACTACTAATGTTGTTTGTCCTAATTAAATCATTGCTATGTAATCTAATTTCAATCTGTTAGGCACAATAAAGAGCTTTAAAGGATGCTAAACTGGATTAAGGCTTTGACATGCTGGCCCACTAGCTATGCTGAGTCAAAAATCCAGAAGGACAGTATACATTTACAGTTATGACACAAAGTTTGCACAACAAAGTTAGCCAAAAAAAAGACCCAATTTACAAAAATTCGTTTTACGCTTTTATATGTTTAGTATTAAAACATTCATTAATTTGTGCAGAAATTAATCATATTGGGTTTAGCCTAAACTATCAGGAAAGAGGGGAAAGGGATCCTGCAACAATATCCTCATATCTTGTTAAACAAAGGAAATATGCAGTCAAGACAGAGGGATGAGAACACACTGATATGTAATAAAAATGCTTTCGATTATAACAGCAACACATAAAAACCAGAAGCTTATAATGGCAACCAAACAGCTGATTGTATTATCCTGTAACATGAATATTTCGTTTTTTTCTTGTTTTTTTTAATGAAAGAACTGTGCAGACTCCCAAAAGGTTGATTCTGTTCATCTGGACGTAGCGTTTTCAGTGGGACAAAGGTTTCCTCACTCATCCAAGTGACTTCTTCAGTCTCAGCTGACTGCAGGTTTCCCCAACCTTATAAACAGTACATTTGCACAATAACTGAAACTAGTCCACTGAATAAGTGGGCTCAGTCAGCTGTCGGGATTTACTTACCTGGATGATTGAGCATGCATCAAGACAAAACTGTGCAGACTGTTAGATGCAAGAATCAGACAAGCGAGCAGAAGGTCTGAATGATCAACCAGTCTTCATCTGTATTATAGACACAACTAGTGTCAATACGGACAATGTAATTAGCATGGTAGCACCCATACATACAATTAAACCTTTAAAGTGCTATATAAATAAATTATGGTATGGTTAAGAAAAAAAAAGCTCAAGTCCAACCTCATTACGATTACCTGGTCACAGGTGAGTAAATATTGTTGTGTACTATACATAAATTGTTTTATAATAAACAATAAGGGACACTGGAACATAAAACTGAGTTCATTAACCAACTAGCCTGTTTTAACAGTCGTTCGTTTGAAACCGAAATTAGTCGTAGCCCAGTTAGGATTAGCAGTTCATGCTCCGAGCACAATCACGAGAAGAGGTCTCACTCTGTCCCATTCTCACTCCTGCTCTGTGCCATTATCTCTAAATCCACTGTGAGTGTCACAGAGAAAATCACAGAGTTTTTCTCCGTCAGACACACACGATCTTCCTCCTTGTGCACCGGAAGTGGGCAGCAGGTGCCGCAGGAAGTGTCTGTGTCCAGCCCTGCTTCTAGAAGAAGAGGAACGAGAAGCTAACGGTATTTAACAGCAACACCCTGCTTCACAATTACGAGAAATCAAAAACCACATATGACATATGTCTTGTTTTCGTTGCTGTTGTGTTGTTAAAGAACACCGCTGTAGCGCAAAATATTTGAACACAGGAGAGCTGCTGCGGCAAGTAGGGAGGCGGCTAACCACATTAGCACGGCTTTGTTAAATTATAGCGTGGAAAACACTAGAAAAAAAAGATGCCTCAGCTGTGTTTGCCCAAGCTGTGTGACCGTATGCACATGCAGGATAGTATTTGTGAAGTAAAACTCTTAATTTTACACGGCTTTAGTTTTTAAAGAATGAGAAATGTGCAATTATTAGCTTTTATTGGTGGTAGCTTCTGAAAATAAACGCAAAATACTGCTTTTTCTTAATGGTCTCGTCAGTGTCATTACTGTGGCGCACAGTACCGCCGCTGTGCTTTACAGAAGGCTCCAAATACCCTAGAAAAATTAGAAATATAAGCAGGTGTTTCCAGTGTTCTTTGGCTTTCTTTTTTTTTATAAAATCAACACACATGCTGTCAACTAAGCAATAAATTAGGTGTGAGAAATGCCAGGTTGTTTTAAAGAAACTCTTTGCACATTATAAAACGGGCCTGTTTCTCATCAGACCTGCCTTTTTGTCTTCAGATAAAATGAGTGCTGCTGTACCCAACCATAGAAGGACCAAGCCTGGTGGTAAGATCCAAACTCTATAACCTGTAATACATGTTGAAACTAAAGGCTAAAAAATTAATTACATATTTATCAGCAAGGACACAGCGTTGTAATTTTCATTTATTGCAGGCATAAAGCCCGGGGCGGCGAACAGCGGCGTGACGGGACCGACCTCCCAGATCCCTGGGCTGTGCCAGACCGCCACTGAAAGCGCTCCAGTGGAGAGGATCAGTGGGCGGCGAGTTGGGATATTTGAGACGGACTCGGACTATGTCAAGCTTGCGAAGCAGGGGGGACACAAAGGTAAAATTAGACAGTTGTTGTCTGTTCATATAGATGCCTTGAAATGCATCTATATGAAGATTGCCAGTGTAAAAAAAATGATTTTATGCTCTAATTTTATAAAGAGTTTCAGAGTTTTCCTGGCTCAGAGTAGAAGACTAAAAAGAAGTCTATAATTTTTGTCCATTTACCAAACAGTAACATATTTTGAGCGGAGACTAAACTATATAAAGTACTTGTATAAGTACTAGAGCTATATATAGCAAATATTAGAGAAGTCTGTTGTGTGTGTCTGAAAGAGTCTGATTTATTCCATTTTTAAATCATCAAATATGTCTCTCGGTCAGCCTCTAGTATGCTTATGCAGTTCAGGGTCATGGGGAGGCTGAAGAGGTGGGGTACACCCTAGACAGATCATGTCTGTCTCAGTCACTTTGACACAGGCAACCATATAGACAACCAGTTGAGGTGGTTTGGAGATCATCTCATTTTAGGCACTTCCTAGGTGAGGTATACAGGACATGTTCTACCAAGAGGAGACCTTGGAACAGACCCAGGACATGTTGGAGAGATTCGGTCACTTGGTTGGCTTGGGAGCCCCTCAGTGTTTCTCAAGACGAGTTTTACAGGTGGCTGGGTTGAGGTTGTGCATCTCTGTTTAAACTGCAGCCCCTGTGACCTGGACCCATATAAAGTGGATGCTTGGATGGATATTGAGTAATATTAAAATTTTATAATAAAGTTTAGTATCTGAATGTCAACTAGGGCTGCCACAAACGATTATTTTGATAGTCGACTAGTCACCGATTATTTTTGCGATTAGTCGACTAATCAAATCCATTGGACGTAAAACGTACAGCTTATTGCACCAGCAGCATCTGCTCTTATATAACTATCATTAGCTCACAGCTTTAAGTGTTTAAGGTGCTAACTAAAAAGACAAGATGACAGTTTATTACATTTTAATGACATTTGCAGATTGTTTCGGTGGAGTTTAATAAACTCCTTGCTTTCTAAAATATAACAGGACACCGGAGTAAATTCTCGAGCATCTCACACTTCTGATGATCAGCTGTCTGCTTGACGTTTATTCAGCTGTGTAAAAACTATAACTTTAATCTCAGCCAAACCGATTTACTCAGGAACAAATAAAATACAAAAAAAAAGCCAAACAATAACATTTTTAAGTTATCTAAGTGACTTATATATCATGTTTAACCTGAGTAGCGAAAGACTGCGGTGGGTTTGTAAACGATTTGCCGGGAGTCCGGTGTTCTCACGGCTCTAGTGACCTAGCCCCCGGCTAGCTATCGAGCTAGTGGGTAACAGACGTTCCGAAAACGTCAGAGCGCTTTTGAAAATATGTGGTGTCTTGATAAACTGAGCAGATATTTGAGGTTTACACAGCTACATTCTCGCCTGAAAATATGTTAAACATTTATTTTGTGACCCAGAAAGAATAATAAGAGTAATATTAAAACTAACTAGCTGCCGCCATTGCTGGAAATTGAGCAGGGCTGCGCTATGAATTCTGGGACACAGCTTCTTCTTCTTCGGGGTTTAAGGGCAGCTGGCATCCTTGTACATGCAGTGCTGCCATCTTCTGTTCCAGTCCGTTATTACACTCTTAAATCCTACTACTCATTCCTGCGTCCTTTGTGATCTTACAAAGCTTCAAACGACGGGTCGACTATTAAATTAGTCGTCAACGATTTTAATAGTCGACGTAATCGTGACTAGTCGACTAATCGTGGCAGCCCTAATGTCAACAAAAGAAAATGAAACATAAAAACACAAAAATCAGAAGGCCTTAAAATGGCTCACAGCTGTGCAAGAAAGGAGTTTTGTTTAGCACAACGTAGGAGATTCCTTCTACGGTCTGTACCAGCATTTGGATGAGGAAACTCATTCACCTGGCTTCACGTACCCTAATATAGGCAGTCAATAAAGGTGGTTATAAGGTTGATAAGTGAAGCCAGGGTTTATTTATCATACAAAACATGGATAGGGTACTCAGCAGCAGAGCCACAGATTTTACAGTGGCGATAAAAAGATGAAGAGGTTAACCACATGATCCAGACTGAAAGCAGCACAGCTGCTGCAGACACATCGTGTGTGTGTGTGTGTGTGTGTGTGTGTGTGTGTGTGTGTGTGTGTGTGTGTGTGTGTGTGTGTGTGTGTGTGTGTGTGAGGTTTTAAAGCTGCTGCATGAATGCATGTGAGCTTTAAGTTCAGTGAAGCGTTACTGGGCTATATTAATAAAGTTTAGCTTATTTGAAGGAGGAAAGCTGGCAAAAATGCTGACTGTAAGAGTTTACAGACCTCTCAGTACCACAGCTCTATCTTTAAAGAGCGGGTGAATCAGCTGGATTACAGTTACATATTATATTAA